CCGCTATACACTTGGAAGATGTGAAATTAACAGACTTACCAATTAAAGTGGCAACCCCTCTGGACTTAGAGTTGAAGTTTGAATGGAACACCACAGAAACCCATGGACACTTAAGCCTGACCTGGTCTGTGGAGCGCATATGGGTTTCTTGTAGAAATATTATGTCTGCATTAAGTCGTTTCAGATGAGCAAATACCCTGGATCTCTTCAAGGGGCTCCCCATACCTTTAATGTTCCAGCTTACAAACTTCACTGGTGAGCCAGGAGCCATTCCTAAATTGCTAGTATTGGTAGACATTTACTGAGGACTTTCTATAAAGAGAGAACTGACTATGAAGCACCACCCCGAAAGAGACATAGAGGGAAACAAAGCAATAGAAAGAATAAATATTTTTTTTTTTAAAAACACACAGTAAACAATCCCAGCCCCTCCCACCCATCCCATAGCACTTACATCGACCCCATCCCCAAACGATGGAGAACCCAGTGCTAACTCCACAAGGAGTCAAATTCCTATGGCTAACAGCTTGTGACCTAATAGTGAAAGCTAAACTAAGGTAAACTTAGGTTAAGCTCCTGCAAACTTGAGATTGATATAGAGCAAGGCACTTATAACCAGATCAACTTCCACATACAGAGAACTTGTTGTATGGATTTAAGTAAAATAAAGAGTAAATAATTATTCCAGAGGTGCTCATCATGGTGTGTTAAGAGATCCCTTACTTGACCAGTGTCTTAATGAATGTCTCGGCGTCATCCGGTGAATTAAACTGCCTCTCGGTACCGCCATGGGTAATGCGGAGTCGCGCTGGGTAAAGCAAACCAAAACGTATCCCCGGTATCTCACGGAGCTGACGGCGGACGTCATTGAAGGCCGCACGGGCACGGGCTGTCCTCGAGGTGTGGTCAGGGAATATGGAGACGACAAAGTCACCGATCTTGATCCGTTGTTGGGCTCTGGCTCTCCGCAAGATATCAGCACACTCCGCATGGTAGTGAAGTCGGGAAATTATGGTGCGGTGGCGCTCGCCAGGTCTCGGCTTCGGCTGGAGGGTGCGGTGGGCGCGGTCCAGAAGTGGCTCTTTCTCCAGCTTAAAAGCCTCTTTAAGCAGAGTGGAAATAGCGGCAGTAGTGATGGTTGTTTCTTCCGGTACACCCACGATCCTTACGTTGTTACGCCGTGATCTGGCCTCTAGATCTTCGCACTTCTTATCCACTCTCTCCAGTTCAGCGGACAGGTGCTCCACTTTAGCCTGCAGTGTAGAGATGTCATCAGTGCGAAGTTTCCATTTCCCCTACAGTAGATTTCAGGGCACTCACATCAGACTTGATATTCATAATACTGACACTTAAATCCGCCATCACTGTTTGTAGCTCTGCCTTAATGGATGATAAGTTGTCCTTCAGGGCCTCATGGAGCTCAGTTTTAAAAACAGCCGCCATCTCAGTACGGAGTGAAGCGAGCATCTCCTCCTTGAAGTCGGGGGGGACAGCGGGCCCGGCAGCTCCGCTGCGAAGGGAGGAGGGATCACTCGGAGGCGAGGATGCAGCATGGGGAGCAGGCCTCTGAGACGGGGCGGACGAATTATTCGTACTTTTGGCTTTAAAAGGCATTTTGGTCATCAAAAAGTAGAGAATAAACTGTTAAATACTCTTACACCAAGAACTATCTCATAAATAATGTGCCTGTAATCACATTTCAGAGCATATTGCAGGAGATCCTAAAAGTTGCGTCTTACTCCATCGATCACTCAGCCACTCACTCCCGATAGATACTTTATTAATCACAATTTTGGAAATTCCTTTGTTACACGACCAGTGTGTTCAACATTAAAATACAAATACTTAAAAGTAGAAAGTGGAATAGAGTTAACAATTAAAAATGAAAAATAGTATATCAAATATAAACAATATAAATTAAAATGTTCCTTAAAAAAGTCAAAAATACTGCAGGTGCAGGAATATAGGCTCATACAGGAGCATAGGCATACTGTATACATATGATAGTATATAATTTACGGATGTATAGAAAATTGCAAATTGTTATCAGGACTATAAAACTTTAAAACAATATTATATTTAGATTAGATTAGAATCGTTAATGACCACACAGCCAGGCTGGTGGAATTTGTGTTCAGTGCAGAGTATTACAGCTTGTTCCATACAATTCAACATACAATAAACAGACAATAAAAAGTACAACACACAGCACAGGGCAAAGACATATAACATAAAGTTCAAGGTGTGGTGGATTGTTATTGTTCATTGGGGTTATTTAGAGTACATTTGATTGTTAATTAAACCTTATTGACTGTACATCTCCTGTATGTCCTTCAAAGGGGTTGTATTTCTAATATCCAGCAGGGGCGACTCCACTGGCAAAAATATATCAGATTGTATTGAAGTCTATGAGAAAATGAGGTAACACTTTGGGGTTTATCATTAAAAAAGTGTTGATTTAAAGTTGATCAAACTTCAATTATTAGTTATTTTTCTGTTAGCATATGTGATGCCCCTGTGGGTTGATCTTGAGAGGGTGTGGCTGTGCTGCATCCAGCCGCCTTGATTGCAGTAAGTCAGGGCACCTGGGTCTGGTGCCCTGCAGGTATTTAAAGCCTCTCTGCTCCTCTCGGCTGAGTATGCTATCAGTTATTTCAGTTGCTTCACTTTGTGCACCTCAACACCCTCACACATACACGTCCATGCAATCCTCACCCTGCATTTACACTACTGACACCACTGACGTCCACACCTCATACTTTACTTACTTTGCACTTAATTAATTTGGTTGATTTGAATTGTTTGTGTACATTTTTTTATTTTTTGTGTAAACTTTTGCTAACCGTTGACGTGTCCTCTTTGTTGTGGCCTTTTGAGCCAGGTCATAACAGCATATATGAAATGATCATTTATGGTGTTTACTAGAATAATAGTTTATTTAAATTTGTAAGAATTATATATAATCAAATATGAATATATATTTCTTACTGCACCAGAGAGACATTTTTTGTTTCCATTTGTGTCCCTATAGTCTTTACACTGGCTTCCTGTGTGTCAAAGAATAGATTTCTAAATACTGCTGCTGGTTTATAAAGCTTTGAATGGTTTAGGCCCAAAATACATTTCTGACCTCCTGCTAAATTATGAACCATCCAGATCTCTCAGGTCTTCACGTCTGCTCTCTGTCCCCAGAACCAGATCTCTCAGGTCTTCAGGTCTGCTCTCTGTCCCCAGAACCAGATCTCTCAGGTCTTCAGGTCTGCTCTCTGTCCCCAGAACCAGATCTATCAGGTCTTCAGGTCTGCTCCTGCAGAGTAACTCTCGTCTCAGTCTGCTCTCTGTCCCAGAACCAGAACTCTCAGGTCTTCAGGTCTTGCTCTCTGTCCCCAGAATTCAGAACTCTCAGGTCTTCAGGTCTGCTCTCTGTCCCCAGAACCAGAACTCTCAGGTCTTCAGGTCTGCTCTCTGTCCCCAGAACCAGAAACTCTCAGGTCTTCAGGTCAGCTCTCTGTCCCCAGAACCAGAACTCTCAGGTCTTCAGGTCCTGCTCTCTGTCCCCAGAACCAGAACTCTCAGGTCTTCAGGTCTGCTCTCTGTCCCCAGAACCAGAAACTCTCAGGTCTTCAGGTCTGCTCTCTGTCCCCAGAACCAGAACTCTCAGGTCTTCAGGTCTGCTCTCTGTCCCCAGAACCAGATCTCTCAGGTCTTCAGGTCTGCTCTCTGTCCCCAGAACCAGATCTCTCAGGTCTTCAGGTCTGCTCTCTGTCCCCAGAACCAGATCTCTCAGGTCTTCAGGTCTGCTCTCTGTCCCCAGAACCAGATCTCTCAGGTCTTCAGGTCTGCTCTCTGTCCCCAGAACCAGAACTCTCAGGTCTTCAGGTCTGCTCTCTGTCCCCAGAACCAGAACTCTCAGGTCTTCAGGTCTGCTCTCTGTCCCCAGAACCAGAACTCTCAGGTCTTCAGGTCTGCTCTCTGTCCCCAGAACCAGATCTCTCAGGTCTTCAGGTCTGCTCTCTGTCCCCAGAACCAGAACTCTCAGGTCTTCAGGTCTGCTCTCTGTCCCCAGAACCAGAACTCTCAGGTCTTCAGGTGTGCGCTCTGTCCCCAGAACCAGAACTCTCAGGTCTTCAGGTCTGCTCTCTGTCCCCAGAACCAGAACTCTCAGGTCTTCAGGTCTGCTCTCTGTCCCCAGAACCAGATCTCTCAGGTCTTCAGGTCTGCTCTCTGTCCCCAGAACCAGATCTCTCAGGTCTTCAGGTCTGCTCTCTGTCCCCAGAACCAGATCTCTCAGGTCTTCAGGTCTGCTCTCTGTCCCCAGAACCAGATCTCTCAGGTCTTCAGGTCTGCTCTCTGTCCCCAGAACCAGAACTCTCAGGTCTTCAGGTCTGCTCTCTGTCCCCAGAGTCAGAACTCTCAGGTCTTCAGGTCTGCTCTCTGTCCCCAGAACCAGAACTCTCAGGTCTTCAGGTCTGCTCTCTGTCCCCAGAACCAGAACTCTCAGGTCTTCAGGTCTGCTCTCTGTCCCCAGAACCAGATCTCTCAGGTCTTCAGGTCTGCTTTCTGTCCCCTCTGTCAGAACTAAACCTGGAGGAGTTCAGTTATGATGCTCCAAACATCTGGAACAAACCTGCAGGTCCGCTGCAACTCTGACTACTTTTAAATCCAGGCTGAAGACTTTCTTTTTGACGCTGCTTTTAATTGAACTATTCACATCTTAAACTGCACTGTAACTTTTATTCATGTATTTTGTCTTTTAATGTTTGTTTTGTTATCTTTGCTTTTTAATGACTGTTTTTAAATGCCATTTTCTTAATGTCTTTCATTTTGGTGAAGCACTTTGAATTGCCTTGTGTTGAAAGGTGCTGTATAAATGAACTTGCCTTGCCTAAAGGGCTGCATTCTCTCATATCACCAGCAGGGGGCGACTATAATTCACTGATAGTAGAATGAGTTGTTAAGCGATGTGTACATTTGGCTCCACCTGCTGCTCACACTAGCCCCTCCTCCTCCTCCTCCCTGTGTGAGGAGCAGTGGAGGAGTGTCGGACCTGAGAGGAGAAGCAGCTCACAGTGAGTTTTCATTTACAAACTTTACAAACTTTAAAATCAATGCAAACTTTAAAATAAAAGCTTAACTTCAAACTTGTATTTAAATCCTGACAGTGGTGTAGTTCTGATCAGTGTTAGAGAGTAACTAAGTACTCAGATACTGCAGTAGTGTAATACCTTTACCATTTCCTGCTACTTCATACTTTTACTCTACATTCACAGGAACATGCTTTAATCTAAAACATGTTGTGACTCACAGGGGGATAAATAAATAAAGTTCCATCTTATCTTATCTTAAGGTATAAAAAACACTAAACATAATACAAAAATAATATATATAAAGTATTATAATAAGTTATAATAACACTGTATTGATCCCTTGGTTAAACAGCAGTATATAATTAGAAAAAATACTCTTTTTTTTACTTGACGCAACATATTAATGCATTTGTTTGTAATTATTATATTAGTTATCTTTCATTTATACTATTTATTATTCATACAGTATGTATTTGTGTATTATTATTATTATTTAGTTTTCCTACTTTTGAATGCATTCGTTTGACTTGACAGAGTATTTCTGTATCACTAACTATATCTGAATACTAATTGTACCTCGGATTCTGCAGTAGAAAGTACTTTATAAAGTTTGAAGGGGACTTTTTGATGTCTTATTTTAGGTGTGAAAATCACAACTCATCACGCTTAAGCTTTTTTTCTTGCATCTTCAATGTTTTTGCAAACTCATTAAAACGTCTCCACCTCACCTCAGTGATTCATTGTGAACCACTTGGAGTTAAATGTAATCGACACGCTCTGGTTTGGAAACCAGCTTCACCAAATAATGACGAGGCAGCGGAGTCATCCTCCATCACACAGACTCTCAGCCAAATACTGAAATACTTCTGGAGACCGACAAAAAGGAAAGCATCAAAGTTTCCATCTGTAAAATAATGCTGACAGCGAAAAACTGAAATACTTTAATCAAAATAAATTCTCATATATTTACTATTTTTAATCTTAGGGAATATTTGCGTTTTTGTATGTCCTGTGCCTTGCTCAAGGGCACCATGGCAGGGCAGGAGGTGAACTGGGACCTCTCCAAGTAGCAGTCCACACTCCATATTGAGGTCTGTTAGGCAACCCTACGGCTCACAGTCCAAGCCCCTACTGACTGAGCCGCTGCCGGACCATATCCACCTGTTATGCCATAACAGAAAAACAAAGAGCATTTCTTAGACTCTGAGATTATTTTGTTTTTATTTGACCGTTACGAGATAAAAACTACCACCCAGATTGCGTGTCTTTCCTTCTGTTGACATTCCTCTGCTGATTAGAGATCTGTGTCTTCCTGATCGTCTGAGGTTGATTTCCGTCTTTTCTGATTTTCTTTCCCTTTCCGTGTCGCTGTTATTTATGTCATAAAATGTTCAGGCCCAAACCAAAATATAACTCTCAGCAAGAGAGTAGCCTCAGCCAATCAGAAAACAGATTCTAAAAGTAGGAACATTTTCTCAGACTTCTAAACAATCTGAGCTAATAAAGAGAGAGAGAAGTATGAACATTTCCTCATAGACTTCTCTACAATCTGAGGTAATAAAGAGAGAGAGAAGTAGGAACATTTCCTCATAGACTTCTCTACAATCTGAGGTAATAAAGAGAGAGAGAAGTAGGAACATTTCCTCATAGACTTCTCTACAATCTGAGGTAATAAAGAGAGAGAGAAGTAGGAACATTTCCTCATAGACTTCTCTACAATCTGAGGTAATAAAGAGAGAGAGAAGTAGGAACATTTCCTCATAGACTTCTATACAATCTGAGGTAATAAAGAGAGAGAGAAGTAGGAACATTTCCTCATAGACTTCTCTACAATCTGAGGTAATAAGAGAGAGAGAGAAGTAGGAACATTTCCTCATAGACTTCTCTACAATCTGAGGTAATAAAGAGAGAGAGAAGTAGGAACATTTCCTCATAGACTTCTCTACAATCTGAGGTAATAAAGAGAGAGAGAAGTAGGAACATTTCCTCATAGACTTCTATACAATCTGAGGTAATAAAGAGAGAGAGAAGTAGGAACATTTCCTCATAGACTTCTATACAATCTGAGGTAATAAAGAGAGAGAGAAGTAGGAACATTTCCTCATAGACTTCTATACAATCTGAGGTAATAAAGAGAGAGAGAAGTAGGAACATTTCCTCATAGACTTCTCTACAATCTGAGGTAATAGAGAGAGAGAGAAGTAGGAACATTTCCTCATAGACTTCTATACAATCTGAGGTAATAAAGAGAGAGAGAAGTAGGAACATTTCCTCATAGACTTCTATACAATCTGAGGTAATAAAGAGAGAGAGAAGTAGGAACATTTCCTCATAGACTTCTCTACAATCTGAGGTAATAAAGAGAGAGAGAAGTAGGAACATTTCCTCATAGACTTCTATACAATCTGAGGTAATAAAGAGAGAGAGAAGTAGGAACATTTCCTCATAGACTTCTATACAATCTGAGGTAATAAAGAGAGAGAGAAGTAGGAACATTTCCTCATAGACTTCTCTACAATCTGAGGTAATAAAGAGAGAGAGAAGTAGGAACATTTCCTCATAGACTTCTATACAATCTGAGGTAATAAAGAGAGAGAGAAGTAGGAACATTTCCTCATAGACTTCTCTACAATCTGAGGTAATAAAGAGAGAGAGAAGTAGGAACATTTCCTCATAGACTTCTCTACAATCTGAGGTAATAAAGAGAGAGAGAAGTAGGAACATTTCCTCATAGACTTCTCTACAATCTGAGGTAATAAAGAGAGAGAGAAGTAGGAACATTTCCTCATAGACTTCTCTACAATCTGAGGTAATAAAGAGAGAGAGAAGTAGGAACATTTCCTCATAGACTTCTATACAATCTGAGGTAATAAAGAGAGAGAGAAGTAGGAACATTTCCTCATAGACTTCTCTACAATCTGAGGTAATAAAGAGAGAGAGAAGTAGGAACATTTCCTCATAGACTTCTCTACAATCTGAGGTAATAAAGAGAGAGAGAAGTAGGAACATTTCCTCATAGACTTCTATACAATCTGAGGTAATAAAGAGAGAGAGAAGTAGGAACATTTCCTCATAGACTTCTATACAATCTGAGGTAATAAAGAGAGAGAGAAGTAGGAACATTTCCTCATAGACTTCTATACAATCTGAGGTAATAAAGAGAGAGAGAAGTAGGAACATTTCCTCATAGACTTCTCTACAATCTGAGGTAATAAAGAGAGAGAGAAGTAGGAACATTTCCTCATAGACTTCTCTACAATCTGAGGTAATAAAGAGAGAGAGAAGTAGGAACATTTCCTCATAGACTTCTATACAATCTGAGGTAATAAAGAGAGAGAGAAGTAGGAACATTTCCTCATAGACTTCTATACAATCTGAGGTAATAAAGAGAGAGAGAAGTAGGAACATTTCCTCATAGACTTCTATACAATCTGAGGTAATAAAGAGAGAGAGAAGTAGGAACATTTCCTCATAGACTTCTATACAATCTGAGGTAATAAGAGAGAGAGAGAAGTAGGAACATTTCCTCATAGACTTCTCTACAATCTGAGGTAATAAAGAGAGAGAGAAGTAGGAACATTTCCTCATAGACTTCTCTACAATCTGAGGTAATAAAGAGAGAGAGAAGTAGGAACATTTCCTCATAGACTTCTCTACAATCTGAGGTAATAAAGAGAGAGAGAAGTAGGAACATTTCCTCATAGACTTCTATACAATCTGAGGTAATAAAGAGAGAGAGAAGTAGGAACATTTCCTCATAGACTTCTCTACAATCTGAGGTAATAAAGAGAGAGAGAAGTAGGAACATTTCCTCATAGACTTCTCTACAATCTGAGGTAATAAAGAGAGAGAGAAGTAGGAACATTTCCTCATAGACTTCTATACAATCTGAGGTAATAAAGAGAGAGAGAAGTAGGAACATTTCCTCATAGACTTCTATACAATCTGAGGTAATAAGAGAGAGAGAGAAGTAGGAACATTTCCTCATAGACTTCTCTACAATCTGAGGTAATAAAGAGAGAGAGAAGTAGGAACATTTCCTCATAGACTTCTATACAATCTGAGGTAATAAAGAGAGAGAGAAGTAGGAACATTTCCTCATAGACTTCTATACAATCTGAGGTAATAAAGAGAGAGAGAAGTAGGAACATTTCCTCATAGACTTCTATACAATCTGAGGTAATAAAGAGAGAGAGAAGTAGGAACATTTCCTCATAGACTTCTATACAATCTGAGGTAATAAAGAGAGAGAGAAGTAGGAACATTTCCTCATAGACTTCTATACAATCTGAGGTAATAAAGAGAGAGAGAAGTAGGAACATTTCCTCATAGACTTCTATACAATCTGAGGTAATAAAGAGAGAGAGAAGTAGGAACATTTCCTCATAGACTTCTCTACAATCTGAGGTAATAAAGAGAGAGAGAAGTAGGAACATTTCCTCATAGACTTCTCTACAATCTGAGGTAATAAAGAGAGAGAGAAGTAGGAACATTTCCTCATAGACTTCTCTACAATCTGAGGTAATAAAGAGAGAGAGAAGTAGGAACATTTCCTCATAGACTTCTCTACAATCTGAGGTAATAAAGAGAGAGAGAAGTAGGAACATTTCCTCATAGACTTCTATACAATCTGAGGTAATAAAGAGAGAGAGAAGTAGGAACATTTCCTCATAGACTTCTATACAATCTGAGGTAATAAAGAGAGAGAGAAGTAGGAACATTTCCTCATAGACTTCTCTACAATCTGAGGTAATAAAGAGAGAGAGAAGTAGGAACATTTCCTCATAGACTTCTATACAATCTGAGGTAATAAAGAGAGAGAGAAGTAGGAACATTTCCTCATAGACTTCTCTACAATCTGAGGTAATAAAGAGAGAGAGAAGTAGGAACATTTCCTCATAGACTTCTCTACAATCTGAGGTAATAAAGAGAGAGAGAAGTAGGAACATTTCCTCATAGACTTCTATACAATCTGAGGTAATAAAGAGAGAGAGAAGTAGGAACATTTCCTCATAGACTTCTCTACAATCTGAGGTAATAAAGAGAGAGAGAAGTAGGAACATTTCCTCATAGACTTCTCTACAATCTGAGGTAATAAAGAGAGAGAGAAGTAGGAACATTTCCTCATAGACTTCTATACAATCTGAGGTAATAAAGAGAGAGAGAAGTAGGAACATTTCCTCATAGACTTCTATACAATCTGAGGTAATAAAGAGAGAGAGAGAAGTAGGAACATTTCCTCATAGACTTCTATACAATCTGAGGTAATAAAGAGAGAGAGAAGTAGGAACATTTCCTCATAGACTTCTCTACAATCTGAGGTAATAAAGAGAGAGAGAAGTAGGAACATTTCCTCATAGACTTCTCTACAATCTGAGGTAATAAAGAGAGAGAGAAGTAGGAACATTTCCTCATAGACTTCTATACAATCTGAGGTAATAAAGAGAGAGAGAAGTAGGAACATTTCCTCATAGACTTCTATACAATCTGAGGTAATAAAGAGAGAGAGAAGTAGGAACATTTCCTCATAGACTTCTCTACAATCTGAGGCAATAAAGAAAGAGAGAAGTAGGAACATTTTCTCATAGACTTCTCTACAATCTGAGGTAATAAAGAGAGAGAGAAGTAGGAACATTTCCTCATAGACTTCTATACAATATGAGGTAACAAAGAGAGAGAGAAGTAGGAACATTTTCTCATAGACTTCTCTACAATCTGAGGTAATAAAGAGAGAGAGAAGTAGGAACATTTCCTCATAGACTTCTACACAATCTGAGGTAATAAAGAGAGAGAGAAGTAGGAACATTTTCTCATAGACTTCTATACAATCTGTGCAGGTTTAAAAAACAAGATGTTGTTATCTTTGTCAGCTACTAATTATTTGCAGCAAAAGTTCCCTAACTTGGATGTAAATAAGAATTATAGATACACTTTTAATCAAATTATTCACCCCTTAATTCAGATCCGCGCCAAAATATAATGGGCTTTCCGTGGTCTAACCATTCAGTTTTCTGTAAATTGGACCATTATTTTCCACTCTGGTTTGCAACCATTGAGATATCAAGGCGCTCCATCAGAAGACTCTTTAACCCAATGGGACGCAAAAGTATTCAATTGGTTGAATGACAAAAAAACAACTCCCTACGTAGCGACTTTACTCTTTATCCAGCAGCCAATTTGTAAAAGAAACTTCAGAGATCGCCAAATAGTCTGAAAAACATCCATCACTTGTTCGAGCTGTGTCCTATTGTGGTTGTTTCTTTTTTCAAACCCTCATTAAACGTCTCCCGCTCTTTCTACATGCAGTGATTTAGTTAGCTTTTATCCAAACCTCAGTCTGCAGCTTCCATTTGACTATCTGCCTATCAATCTCTCTTTGTGCAGACATGCAGCACATGCACATTATTTATGCTGCAGCGGTGTGATCTTTTGCATTTGTGTTTAAATTAACAAGGTCATAAAAGTGTGTTATCAGACACTGGACTTTGAAGCTTTACCTCTGTCGAACTGTGGTTGTATTTGACAGGTTTTTGCTTCAGTCTGTGTGATATAAATTAAATCATGGGAGCCAACGACCTCAAAATGAACCCTGACCCCGCGGAGTTTCGCCCCCCCGCCCGACACCGGAGTCTCTTCTACAGCGTCAAGGTTTGTCTACTTTACATCTACGTTTGATGACAAAAAAATGCACATATCGTTGGGTTTAAATGTTGAATATTGCTTTCAGTCCATTTGGAACATATTTTGAAAAGTAACATAAAGAAATCCTCCATGAAGTAGGTAAAACATAGAAGGTTTCATAGACGGTGTCATAGAAGACAAAACAATACCAATAAAACTAATAAAACAGACATTTTTGGGAAACAAATAAATCAGGGTGGTTTTTGGGCCTATCCATGTTTTTATGTAACCTGACTTTGAAAATACGCACAATAACCGAAGAAACATTTGTATTATTCATATTCCATGATAATTAATACCCCGCGGACACAGATGCTTTTCTTGGAGACATATGAGTTTGTATCTTCGTCTACGTGTAAATTAAAAGCATGTTAATCTGCAGGAGTAGGTGTTCAAGGTTTTGTTGTTTTCGGCACCGATTTCCTTCTTGTCTGAGGTGAAACTTCCCTTCCTGAAGTTCATCCTGGTATTGTTCACATGTAAACATTTCCTCTCGACATGTCACGAAACTCTGATGAACTCTTCGTTTCGTAAATCACTCAAAACCTGGACTCATTTTAAATCAGGAGTTTGACATCTGCAGATGTTTCAGTGTTTTCCTTGTTATTCTCCTTCTTCTTCTTCTTCTTCTTCTTCTTCTCTGCAGTTCTTCGTGTTTTGCCACAGTTTGCTGCAGTTGGCTCAGTTGTTGGTGTCGGGCTACATGAAGAGCTCCATCTCCACCATCGAGAGACGCTACGGCTTCAACAGCCAGAAGTCGGGACTCCTGGCTTCTTTCAACGAGGTCAGTGACGGACACACAGGGCCCAACATGACAGAGGGCCCATTGGCCTTCAATGCAAACATGTCGCTATAAGATCAACAGGAAGAGACTAAAATAACCACAGAGACTTAAACCATGACAAAGACAGAGAGAAACCACAAAGAGACAGAAACAACAGAAATTAGAACGACTACCACAAAATGACACAAATACTAAAAGGAGATGCAAAACGACAAAAAGACTGAAGTGACCAGAAAGAGACGTGGATGGAAATGAGCTACTAGCTCAAACCTGGCATATATCACCTCATCTCTTCTTCAGATGAATGTATTTGATATCACCTCATCTCTTCTTCAGATGAATGTATTTTATATCACCTCATCTCTTCTTCAGATGAATGTATTTTATGCATGGTCCTTGTTCAATAAAAACATCATTTATAAAGTACAATGATATAAACAATAAGCCACAACAACAAGATACAAAAAGCTCATTTATGATTATTTAGGTACATTCGGCTAATAAACAAATACCAAGAGACTCAAACTGACTGCAAACTAATTTAAAACAACTCAGGAAAGCAAGGAGGTTTCCACATGTGCCGTCTGCTGTCAGGGTTTCCACGGGGAAACCAAGACACAGTCTTTTCCAGGAATAGTTTGTCAAATGTTGTCGACTTTCCTGAGAAAATGCTTGTGAGATCTTGGGATAATTTTCATGGTATGTGTTAAATGAGGTTACAAGGTCCCTGCATGGGATGATCCGACACATGGTCCCCAATGCAAACAAAAACCAGCATATCTGTGTGTGTGTGTGTGTGTGTGTGTGTGTGTGTGTGTGTGTGTGTGTGTGTGTGTGTGTGTGTGTGCAGGTGGGGAACACGATCCTCATCGTGTTCGTGAGTTTCTTGGGGAGTCAGGTCCACCGGCCGCGGTGCATCGGCGGCGGCGCTCTGCTGGCGTGTCTCGCCTCGCTGATCATGTCGCTGCCGCACTTCCTGGGAGGGAAGTACGAGTACACAGACAGCATTAACTGTGAGAACACACACACACACACACACTCACACACATTTAGCTTCATTGTCCGGTCAAATCTATTCTTATTTCTTTTGCTTTTTCTTAGATAATAAATATATGATAATTTGTAACTAAAAACAAACAAAATCCAGTATAAATCTTAGTCTTTTGTGATTTCATATTTCCTTGTTAGTTTACCAAGTACATTTACTCTAGCTTTCAGTATTTCCTTTTCCTGCTTCTTATGAATAAAGATAGCTGGCATTATAATAACTTTCACAAGTTAGCTTAACCTTTACTTGATGAATGTAATGAATCACTAAGTTTAATGTGATGTATAAAATAATATAAATCCATGAAGATGTAAAGGCACATTTTTCATAATAAGTACTTTTGCTATCAAAGTAGTAGTACATGCAGGATTAACTTGCAACTACCTTTTTGTAGTAACTACTTATTGCACATGTACTGTATATACATATGCAAACTTGTATCGTCTATTTGAAGAATATGAAATGTGTGTTCATCAGATTATATTTAGGGAATTTCCCCGTACAAAAGATGGACCTTGCTTTATTCAATGTTCACATCCCTGTGACGAATAATATGCAAATGAGCAGATATGTCATAAAATAAGGTCTCATTTGTTTATTTAAACATCACATTTCAGAAAACTTCTAATATCAAAGAGTATTGTCTTAATGCCAGTAATGAAGAGGGAAAGTTTCACGGTGACATCTATTAGTTAAATATGTTCCCCTCTTTTCCCCACAGCTTCCGGTGTTAACAGCTCCAGCCTCTGCCAATCAGAGAGCCCCGTCTCCACCTCCTCGTCCAATCAGAGCTGCAGCGGGCAGCAGGGCGGGGCCCAGCAGGGGGTCTACCCTCTTCTCCTGATGGGGCAGCTGCTGCTGGGCATCGGAGCCGTGCCCATCCAGCCCTTCGGCATCTCGTACATCGACGACCACGCCAGCAGGAAGAACTCCCCGCTGTACCTCGGTACGTCCAGGAAGCTCCACTTCAATACTGTCCTTGGGTTGGTTTGGATAGTTTGTTGTTATTTTACGACTTTTTGTCAATTTTCGGTCTTTTTGTTCGCTTTTTTGGTGGGGGGGGGGGGGTTAGTTTCGTACTGATATCATCGCTCGTCTTGCATCTTCTTGTTGTCATATTCTGACTTCCTTTAAATGTTTGGCGCCGCTTTCATCGTTTAGTGGTTTTTTTCAACGTTTTTTGTATTGCTTTTGGTTATTTGGTCTTTGTTGTTGTTTTGGTCCATTTAGTGTCTTTTTGTTTGTTTCCCTTCTTATTGCAGTCGTTCTGTAGCTAGGGCTGAACGATTAATCGATTTGAAATCGAAATCGCGATTTGAAATGATGCGATTATCAAATCGCAAAGCCTGCCATTTTTTTTAACATTTTTTTTTTTTTTACAATTTTTTATTTTCTTCTGGTGAGTCAGTCATCAACACCAATCAGAAGTGCTGTGCTCCACATGCACCAGCCATTGTTAACCAATCAGAAGTGCTGTGCTCCACATGCACCATCCATTGTTAACCAATCAGAAGTGCTGTGCTCCACATGCACCAGCCATTGTTAACCAATCAGAAGTGCTGTGCTCCACATGCACCATCCATTGTTAACCAATCAGAAGTGCTGTGCTCCACATGTACCAGCCATTGTTAACCAATCAGAAGTGCTGTGCTCCACATGCACCATCCATTGTTAACCAATCAGAAGTGCTGTGCTCCACATGCACCAGCCATTGTTAACCAATCAGAAGTGCTGTGCTCCACATGCACCAGCCATTGTTAACCAATCAGAAGTGCTGTGCTCCACATGCACCAGCCATTGTTAACCAATCAGAAGTGCTGTGCTCCACATGCACCAGCCATTGTTAACCAATCAGAAGTGCTGTGCTCCACATGCACCAGCCATTGTTAACCAATCAGAAGTGCTGTGCTCCACATGCACCAGCCATTGTTAACCAATCAGAAGTGCTGTGCTCCACATGCACCAGCCATTGTTAACCAATCAGAAGTGCTGTGCTCCACATGCACCATCCATTGTTAACCAATCAGAAGTGCTGTGCTTCACATGCACCATCCATTGTTAACCAATCAGAAGTGCTGTGCTCCACATGCACCAGCCATTGTTAACCAATCAGAAGTGCTGTGCTCCACATGTACCAGCCATTGTTAACCAATCAGAAGTGCTGTGCTCCACATGCACCATCCATTGTTAACCAATCAGAAGTGCTGTGCTCCACATGCACCATCCATTGTTAACCAATCAGAAGTGCTGTGCTCCACATGTACCAGCCATTGTTAACCAATCAGAAGTGCTGTGCTCCACATGTACCAGCCATTGTTAACCAATCAGAAGTGCTGTGCTCCACATGCACCAGCCATTGTTAACCAATCAGAAGTGCTGTGCTCCACATGTACCAGCCATTGTTAACCAATCAGAAGTGCTGTGCTCCACATGCACCAGCCATTGTTAACCAATCAGAAGTGCTGTGCTCCACATGCACCATCCATTGTTAACCAATCAGAAGTGCTGTGCTCCACATGTACCAGCCATTGTTAACCAATCAGAAGTGCTGTGCTCCACATGCACCAGCCATTGTTAACCAATCAGAAGTGCTGTGCTCCACATGCACCATCCATTGTTAACCAATCAGAAGTGCTGTGCTCCACATGCACCAGCCATTGTTAACCAATCAGAAGTGCTGTGCTCCACATGCACCAGCCATTGTTAACCAATCAGAAGTGCTGTGCTCCACATGTACCAGCCATTGTTAACCAATCAGAAGTGCTGTGCTCCACATGCACCATCCATTGTTAACCAATCAGAAGTGCTGTGCTCCACATGCACCAGCCATTGTTAACCAATCAGAAGTGCTGTGCTCCACATGTACCAGCCATTGTTAACCAATCAGAAGTGGCCCATGATAGAAGGTGATAGACAGATTGATCCAATCACCTGCCAAGTGCTTCTGAAAGTGCCTGCCCTTTCCAAATGGCTTCCAATGGAGCTCTAGATGCTTTGGTGAAACCATCTGGGTCAGGTTAGCAATGCTCCATCACATGTTTCTATTACAGGGTGAGTCTGAAACTGAAGCTCGACTTTAAAGCAACGGAAGTTTCATGTAAGTTTAGTTCTTTCACTCGTAGCTCGGGCTGCGGGGGTGCTCGAGACGGGAGCACGTTGATGCGACCTTCCTAGCCGGAGTTATGGCCGCATTTTACAATAAACTTCCGTTGGGTCCTTAAAAACAAATATCGCAATTCGAATCGCAATATTTGTCAGAAAAATCGCAATTAGATTTTTTCCCAAAATCGTACAGCCCTAGTTATAAATATGTCATAGCCATATTATCCCTTGTTTTGCATCTCTTTGTGTTTGTAGTCGTCTTGCGTCTGACTTCCTTTGGATGTTTGCGTCTCTTCGTCGTCCTTCTATCTTGTTTGGGCTTTTAATCACCTTGGCTACTTTCTTTGGCTGCTTTGCGTTTCTTCATAGTCGTTTCTAATGTTTGTGCACATATTTCTCATCCGTTTATGGTCCAGCTGTTTTTGGTCATTCTACGTCCATTTGTTCAGTTACTTCAATTACCTTTACATCATTACTGGTTTAGCATAATATAATATTCTATCACTCTAAAACCCTTTGAGTTCTGCGTACTGATTTATTGTATTTGATACTTTAGGTACAGTAATATACTTTAATACTTTTACTTGAGTTATATTTTTGAATTCAGGACTAGAGTAGTATTAGGACTTGTGTTTGCATGGTTTCAGAAAAACTACTGGTCTATGATTAAAATGTTGAGGCTCGGGAAGAACACAGATTACTTTGGAGTTGATCCAAATCACGGCGGCTGCATGCATTCTTTTTGTTTGTTAAAATAATCGGGAAATGTATGTAAACACTCATTATGTTTTATTTATGGCACCAGCCTCAGTGGAGGTCTGCGCTCTACTATTGCTTTTTAAAGTTTGAATTAAAAACATATTAAAACGTTTCCAATGAAAGCAGCATTAAGGGGAATGTAGGTCATGGTTGTCCCACACACTCCCTCAGCTTGTGTTATCTTACAGCTTCCTGCTCATAGGGGAGAGTGGGGTAAGTAGTGCCAATTTTTACGTAAAGTGCCTTTAAAGCAAGGGGATTACAGTAATGCATCCAACTAAAATATATATAGTTTAGGATGTTGTGCATCCCTGGGAACAATCACTTCGGATCTTAAATAAACTGTTTGAGAAATATAGCTTTAGAAAAAAAAGTGGTTTTGTGGCACAACTTGCCCCCGGTGCGGGGTAAGTTGTGCCATTAGAGACAATACACTGGGGTAAATTGTGCCATTGATAATTGAAGTAAAACAGATCATTTTAATCTCACAAACAACAATGCTATATAAAAGCAAGACAAATTCAATACAACATTATTTATTTAATGTTTATTTAAAGTTTTAACAACATCAAAGGCCACTTTTCTATAACAAGGCCTATGAACACCTAACATCCTACTTGTCCAATGCTGCAGGGAAATATGAACTTCTGTTCCCTTCTGGCTGTACCACTAAGTTTTGTGGTGTGGCCAATTTGCTTAAACAGGACCTAGCGCCACATGAACACATACTCAGAACAAAATTCCAAAATGAGCACCTAATCATCTGCAAATCATCTGCATCTGAATCTCTTCACAGATTCGGCCTACTACTGAACATCCCACTTGTCAATGCTGCAGGGGAATGTGAACTTATACTCCCTTCTGGCTGTACCACCAAGTTTTTGTGGTGTGGGTAGTTTCTTGAGCACATCACCTCTAGGGATGACTCCTTCATCATTCTCTCTAAATGTGAAGATGGGCTTTCCATCAACAGACCTCTTATAACTTTGCTTCAGAAACTTTGCACTGATCTCGTCACCTTCAACATTCTCCACCAATCCAACATAGTTATAGGATTTGGATTTTTTACCTGCAAACTTCACAATGACAAAGTCACCAGCAGACAGATCCTTGTCACCATCATCATCATCACTCTGGACATCTGAACTCTCATAATGAGTGGCATCGCTAAGTGGAATCGGAAAGTCACTCTCTTCTGAGCTACTGGAGAGCACTTTCTTTTTGGGCTTGGTTGGTTTTGACCCTTTCAGAGCCCCCTTCTTATTTCCACTCCTTTTCTTCTTTTCAGCCCGTTCATTTTCTCTGCTGTGTGTCTTCTCCAGGCCATCTTCTGCCTCATCATTGGTGGTGGAGCTTTCTTCTGAGCTACTGTACACAGCTGTTTTCTTCTTGGTTTTGGTTTGATTTGCAGCTTTCAGAGCCCTTTTCTTCTCTCTTTCATTCTTTTTCTTTTCCTGTTCAGCCTTTTTATCTTCTTTTTCTTTGTGAGCCTTCTCCAACTCCATCTTCTCAGGTGTGTCGGTCACGATTCTTGTTTTCACTTTCTTTCTTACAATTTTTTTTTTTCTTTCTGTGGCTTTTGGCAAGGGAAGAATGACTTCTGGAGACACATAACCCAAGTGAGCAGAAGAACCAGATTTGTCACTTGATAAGTGCTCGGGAGTGGCAGGTGGCTCTCCTGGGTCTGGATCTACTTCAAGGAAAGGAAAGGAATAACAATAAAATACAATAAAATACAATAAAGTAATATATAGTAAATAATCATAAGTTGGCCCCAGGCCCTTTGGCACAAATCACCCCAAGCCCACCATTTTGAAAAAAATGCATCCCCCAGCTGTTTTGAGCTAGCATCATGCTAACTGTATAGACTCATGGTGTAGCTTACTAAAGCACTAAAACATGTGTGAACTGTTTTCAAAGTTGTCTAAATTGTTCAAACACAGCAATCAAAAAACCTTGATCATAGAAATTTTACTTTGGAGGGCAAACAATGGTTTTTTTAACTTAAATGTCCTTACCTCTCAAGCCATGTGTCTCCCTTCTTTGCAGGATGATTGAAATGGATGCCTCTTCAAAAATATGTGGTCACATGACCAACTTCTTCTATGGTTTTCTAGATAACAGGGGTGGAACTACTTGCCCCTTGGCACAAATTACCCCACTCTCCCCTACTCACCACTTGGAGCTGTATTTATTGTTTGGACGTGATGTTATTAATGAAAGGCTGACTGAGGGGAAGTCTTCCTCAATGAGCCTGCCATTGGACCACAGCAACAGAACTGAGCTCCTGCAGGTTTCTGTTCACAGGCAGCTGTGAGCTGTTAGCTGTTAGCTCCCTGCAGAGTAACACCAGCCTGTGGCATCTGAAGCCTCCGCCTCCACAAACCAGTTTTTATTGTTTCCTGGAACAGGAGTAATGAAACCAGGAGACAATGGGCCCCTTTTAATAACATTATTGTTATGGGAACGTTAAAAAACGGTGTAATGTTAATAACTGAGATAGAAATGTGTATGTGTACAATGTGTAGTTCTTATCAGATGCAGAGTGAGTGGTTTTCCCCAAAATGTAACATATGGTAGAGTTGGATTTGAATCAGAAAAACTGAACATCCTGCACTTTGTTTTGGCTGTTTTGCAGGCATCCTGCTCGCTGTGACCTCCATCGGCCCGGCGTTCGGCTTCATCAGCGGCTCCTTGATGCTGCGCTTTTATGTCGACTTTGACAAGTTGTCCGAAGGTGAGGAGACGCAGCTCATTCATTACTCCTGTTTTCTCAAACGGAGGGGAGGACTTCCTGCTTGTGGAAATCACTTATACAGAAGTAAATCAGAGAGAAGTTAAAGAAGACACATATCTGATAGAGTTGAAGCTAAAATAACACATGAATGCTGATTTAATGTGACGTCCAGTAGCTATGAGAACACCCTGCATATCTTTCTGCAAGTCAGAATTATGAACACAACTTGTTGTCATAAAAGAGGAGGATCATTTAAAACCTCGTCAGGCGCTTTGCCAAGGATTAACGAAGTCGGTAGTTGAATGAAAACAAGCTAATTAATGGGGAGCCTTACTGTAGCCTATATCACGAATTACAAATGTGCATCGGGGTTTCTTCAATCTGTTCAGGTACCATACCGTAAGACACTTGCAGTAGATGAGGAAGAACTTCCCCAAAAACAAAAATCCTCCGATGTTTTTGTGTTCTAAAGAGACCGAACAAACCCCCCACTTGAGTTTCAGAGAGTCAGCACTTCACAGCGTCTATGGGCCTGCTTTCACATCTGCTCGTATTTCGGGAATGAGTTTCAGGACGTGACAGTTTGTTGAAGTCGGAGCTCCGGAGGTTTCACGCGTCTCTGGTTAACTGAGCTGCAGTTTCTTTTGTGCGTTGTTCAAACAAAAACCTTGTTCCTAATCATGTGTGCACACATATCCAGTCAGTGTGTGTTGGGCCTGTGTGCGTGTATGCAGGCATGTGTAATGTGTATTTTTAGCGGGACGTGATTGTGTGTGTAGGAAATGTTTTCACATTTGAAACTCTTTGTTGACTGTGTGCGTGTGTGCTTGTGTATATAGCTTTGTGAGGACCTGGATCTTGTAAAGTGAGGACATGCCTCGTCTTTATTCCTGCAAATGGCTTTTAGATGATAAATATTGACCTTATTAAATTACCTCAGTGTTATTTTAGTGAAGATTTTTAAAGATTAGAGTAAATGTCATTTTAATGCATGCTGTAGTAACGGTCCTCACAAGTATACACGTATAAACATTTGTGTGTGATCATGCCTGTGTGTCCATAAAGAGTTTTGAGATTATTTGTATGGCAGCAGGCCTTGGTTCTGTATTGTTGACGTGACGTCATTTTATTGGCTCATGTTGAACTTTACTGCAGAAGTCCGACTTGGCAAGAACTGAAAAATACTTTTCACTGTAACAAATAAATTTGACACGTTATTAAAAACAAACATCAATTTATTTTGAAGTGTTCAAAGTCTGTTGTACTTTCTATTTCTAAGGCCAAAGCAGTTTCACAAAAGATCTTCAAGTTTAAAGAGTCCTCTCCTGCTGATGTTCAGGTGTATATCAGTATGTAGTGTCTCTACTTTAAAGAGTCCTCTCCTGCTGATGTTCAGGTGTATATCAGTATGTAGTGTCTCTATTTTAAAGAGTCCTCTCCTGCTGATGTTCAGGTGTATATCAGAATGTAGTGTCTCTACTTTAAAGAGTCCTCTCCTGCTGATGTTCAGGTGTATATCAGTATGTAGTGTCTCTACTTTAAAGAGTCCTCTCCTGTTGATGTTCAGGTGTATATCAGTATGTAGAGTCTCTACTTTAAAGAGTCCTCTCCTGCTGATGTTCAGGTGTATATCAGTATGTAGAGTCTCTACTTTAAAGAGTCCTCTCCTGCTGATGTTCAGGTGTATATCAGTATGTAGTATCTCTACTTTAAAGAGTCCTCTCCTGCTGATGTTCAGGTGTATATCAGTATGTAGTGTCCTCTACTTTAAAGAGTCCTCTCCTGCTGATGTTCAGGTGTATATCAGTAGGTAGTGTCTCTACTTTAAAGAGTCCTCTCCTGCTGATGTTCAGGTGTATATCAGTATGTAGTGTCTCTACTTTAAAGAGTCCTCTCCTGCTGATGTTCAGGTGTATATCAGTATGTAGTATCTCTACTTTAAAGAGTCCTCTCCTGCTGATGTTCAGGTGTATATCAGTATGTAGTGTCTCTACTTTAAAGAGTCCTCTCCTGCTGATGTTCAGGTGTATATCAGTATGTAGTGTCTCTACTTTAAAGAGTGCTCTCCTGCTGATGTTCAGGTGTATATCAGTATGTAGTGTCTCTACTTTAAAGAGTCCTCTCCTGCTGATGTTCAGGTGTATATCAGTATGGAGTGTCTCTACTTTAAAGAGTCCTCCTGCTGATGTTCAGGTGTATATCAGTATGTAGAGTCTCTACTTTAAAGAGTGCTCTCCTGCTGATGTTCAGGTGTATATCAGTATGTAGTGTCTCTACTTTAAAGAGTCCTCTCCTGCTGATGTTCAGGTGTATATCAGCTATGTAGTGTCTCTACTTTAAAGAGTCCTCTCCTGCTGATGTTCAGGTGTATATCAGTATGTAGTGTCTCTACTTTAAAGAGTCCTCTCCTGCTGATGTTCAGGTGTATATCAGTCTGTAGAGTCTCTACTTTAAAGAGTCCTCTCCTGTGATGTTCAGGTGTATATCAGTATGTAGTGTCTCTACTTTAAAGAGTCCTCTCCTGCTGATGTTCGAGGTGTATATCAGTATGTAGATGTCTCTACTTTAAAGAGTCCTCTCCTGCTGATGTTCAGGTGTACATCAGTTAGTAGTTCTCTACTTTAAGAGTCCTCTCCTGTGATGTTCAGGTGGTGTACTATGATGTAGTGTCTCTACTTGTAAAGGAGTCCTCTCCTGCTGATGTTCAGGTGTATATCAGTAGTTAGTGTCTCTACTTTAAAGAGTCCTCTCCTGCTGATGTTCAGGTGTATATCAGTATGTAGTGTCTCTACTTTAAAGAGTCCTCTCCTGCTGATGTTCAGAGGTGTATATCAGTATGTAGTGTATTTACTTTAAATATTCTTTCCACCCTCTGTCTGAAACCAGAGCCCAGTGTGCTCTGATTGGTTAGCTGGCCGGCCATGTTGTGATTGCTCAACCGCTTAGAGATGTCCAGAGTTATATTTATTGTATTGACATTGAGCATCAAACTTCACATGATGTTGTAATAGTACAAAGTGCTCCCAGCCACTCCTCAACAGGTCCAACAGCACTGAGTCATCTGCAACTTCACTTTTATATTTCCTTCTTGCACAACACCTTTTCAAAATCATTCAAAATGTTAAGCTGATGAGATCTGGTAATAAATGTAGTCTTTGGGCACATAGGGCTAATATATGTTGTTATATTGTAAGAAACAACATCATAAATTGATTATATGCATGAAATGTGAAACATAAGTAAGAGGAATGAACGTGAAAAGGGAGTCTCCTCCAGGGACTGTTGTCATAACAACAGTTCAGTTTGTGTTTCAAACTGAGTCTTCTTCCTCTTGTTATCCAGAGCAGATCCAGTTGGAACATGAGGATCTTCGCTGGGTCGGCGCCTGGTGGCTCGGCTTCCTCGTGGCGTCCGGCCTCCTCTTCCTCGCCGCGCTGCCGTACCTCTTCTTCCCCCGAAGCATCCCCAAAGAGGTGAGACAGGGAAGGAGTAATCACATACAGAGCATCACTAGTTCCTGAACAGTGTCCTTCACATGCTGATATCAAGAGAGGGAGTTACACAGTCACAAGATGGAGGAACAGAAAGCAGTATTCAATGTTGACTTCAGATTAGCTCCACGTCAGAAATGAGCATGCTTGATGTCTCTCTCCATAGAGGCTGAATCATCATGTTAATCACAGAGCTATCATCTGCCTCAAACAGTCCTGATGCTCTTCTAGGTAATCACACATCCTGTCATGTTCACAGCTACAGTTGATACCTTTGATAGCATGCTGCTCTCATGTTGGAGGAGGACACTCAGGATGTTCCCAACTCAGATAGACAACAAAAGGTTATTTAAGTTCGTTTGATAAAAACAAACAATAAGTGTCAGAATAATAAAGTTGAATCAAAGACAATCAGGATAAACAGGATGCAAAATATAAAAAGGGCTCATCTTAACAAGCTGCTACAGGAATGTCTCTGGCTCCGTCCCCAAAACAAAATGTAAGGGTTCACTCTGCTCATGTTCTATCAAACTCATGAGGTGAAGTATTGCTCAACATTGTTCCCATCTCAAATAACGTGACAGAAAACAGCCGACATTTTCATTTTCAAACACAAACACCTGATTGAAAGTCGTCCCCCCACATGCAGTATCTCTCCTTTAGACACAGCAATGAATGTGTTGGTACTGAAACTAGCCAAACATATTCAAGCTTTGTCCGTCCAACATATGAGCTGCATAATGTTTTGTGATGATGATGAAGTGGTATGCTTGCATGTTGCAGAATAGGGCCCCTTTAAATGAATGTGCAAACAAGTATTCCTCCCAGGAACCTAAAGCTGTCTGATTATCAACAACGCAGTGAGACTGTGGCTCTTTCCTTTAGGCAGAGACAGAGAAACGGTTTTTATTTAATAGCTAAATCCTCTAAATCATATTAATGTAAATATATCTCAGGGTTCTGTACTGCAACCACCAGACCGGTATTATTAACAATCCAAAAAGTAATCATGAGTTTCAGCCCCTATGTGACCTGAATTTCACAATTTACAGGAAAAACATGTATTTTCTCCCAAATCTTCCAAACATGACCTCCTTTGCAAATGTTACTTCAGGTGATTCTTGGATTGTCTGCAGGCTGCTGCATGCTATACACACTCTCTCAGATCTATCAGATAACTGTCGCACTCCGCTCTGCAGACAGAGGTCTGATTAGATAACAACCTGAGAATTCTTCAAATGCTTTTTCACATATCTATTCGTCTGCTTTTGTCCCAGACGGCAGAATGAGGTTAACTTCATTTCATTTTACAAAACAATCGCTACAGGTGGATAGGGTACAAAATGTAACTAACAGATATCACCATGAAACTTCACCACTTCATTGCTGACATTAACAGCATTCTTTTTTATATTATACGTTTTCTGCCATATGTTTCAATATGCATATGAGGCGTTATTGAATGCTCACTTTTGGTGAGTTTAGGAGAAATCTGCCGACACAAGCAGTCCAATAAACTCCTGGATGTGGATTTTGAGGTTTTCATTCCACTGGTCTGACAATAAGACAAAGCTTGGCCTCACTCTGCTGTGAAGCTCTGGACTTTGGCAGCTTTCTGTTTGAACGCAGGGAGTCGTATCAGATATAATAAAAGGTTGAGCAACCTGCTGGCATCACGCCTTCATTTTTCGTTTAATGGTTTCTTTGTGTCGTGGCCAACACTCCTCCACAAACTCAAACAGAATCATCTGCAGTGCTGAACACCAAAAAACATCAGATAACTTCCATAAATCCATCATTTGGGTCAGAATGAGAAGAACAGTTTTCATAATGGAGTCAATATATATGTTATCTGTGCAACTTCAAGTACTCAGATAACACTCAAATACATTTCAAAGATATTTCAAGATTTTTCATTTCAGTTTCCAAAATCACTTTGTGGCATTCCGCTCTTTTTTCCAGAGAGACAAAACACAATTACAAAGAATTAAAACACACGATAGAACCATGAAAAGACCAAAAACACACGTAAAGACAAAGAAAACTACCACAGAAATACAGAGAACCCATTAGACACAGATAAACAATGAAGAAACGGATTACTTTGCTCAATGCTCTTATTTTGTTGAGGTCTTGGGGTCTGGTCTTTGGGGCTCGCTGATCCCACCTGACAGATGAACCCTAACCTTTGTTTGATCGTAAATCATCTGAGAGGCTCGGCTCTGTGTTTTATCAGAGGTTAAAAATCCAGCCGCAAACAGAAGAGAGGCCCACACACACATTCTCGTTTGGACCACCTTGTCAGGACCGCCGACCGACTGAGGTCCGACTCAAATGTAAATTCTGAGCGTGTGAATGTTTATCAGAAAAGCTTTTAGGCAACCCATCAACTAATTAAGTACTTGTTTCATGAGTAAGATGCTTTTAGTGATTGGTTTCTGTGCGGTGTTAATAACACACAACATTAGTGGAAACAAATATCAATATAATCATTTTAGGAAGTGTATTTCTTATTTTTAATCTGATTACATTTATTTTTTTCGGATATTATTGAAATATCCCTGATTGTGAACATTTAGAAAAATCCCCTTATCATTTAATTGAAGATATAAAGTGTACATGTTTGTCTTTATATAAAAGTAGCATTAAAAGTAGAATTTAAACTAGGGTTACTATTCAGAACTGAAGTTTGACACAAATATTAATTTATAATATTTGTAGGAAACGGACATCTTTTCCTCCAAGCTAACAAGTGGTTTTTTATGCATTAAAATAAATGTGTTTGCTATGTATTGACATATCCTCCACTGTAAACAATGTAGTAAACCACGTAACATATAGTATGCAGTTTTTAATATTCAGTCCTCTACAGTGGCAGTATTAACAAAACTAGCATTCTGAAAATTAACATGTGAGCCTTTAAGCAACCCATTTACTAAATAAATATCTGCTTCATGAGTAACCTGCTTTTACCAAAGTAACTACGATGTATTTCTGGGTATGCAGAGCTCATAACACAGACCACATTCTGCAGCATGCACATTTATCTGAAGTGTCATTTAGAGCTGTTCATGTAAGCCTTCAGCTGCAGACTCAGGGGCTTTTAAACCTGCCGGGAAATAACAAGACGTTCTGCTTCCATATTTGTGCAGGACGAGGACGAGGACGTGGAGTCGACGGCGGACTGCAAGCAGCAGCTTCAGCAGACTGACTCGGAAACGTCTCTCCTCCAGTTCCTCAAAAGTAAGACTCTTATTTCCCTTCTGCTTCCTGTCTGCAGCGCAGGCAACTGCAGGGCATGGAGCAGAGGTCACTGTGATGCTGGGCCATCAGCACTGAAGCAACAATGGGGGTTTTAAACCTTGTGCACTACTACTTCTATTCTATTTGTATTTACTTGCACATCTCAAAACATTCTCTTGCACTATTTATCTGTTTTATTTGTTCTGTGTCATATAGATATATATATATATATATATATATATATATATATATATATATATATATATATATATATATATTCATGTTGCTCTGTTGGAGGAGGACTTCAGTTTTGCATTGCCATATCTACACTGTAGCTGCTGAGCACACAGGCTTGAAACTACTGGGAATAGAAAACGGGTTAATATTCCTGCTAGTATTGGCCTTTTATGTGTGCATATGTACAAATGTGTCTGATTGTGTATATATATGTATATCCATATTTGTATACATATTTTTATATATATTTGTATTCCTCAGGATTGTGGGAAACGGTATTTCGATCTCTGTCTGTACACACAAACTGAAAGATTGACAATAAAGTTGGCTTTGACTTTCATGGCTAAACCTGTCTATCATCATCATCATCATCACCACCTCCCTCCCTCCCTCCCTCCCTCCCTCCCCTCCGTTCCTCAGGTTTCCCTCGTATCGCCCTGCGGACGCTGCGCAGCCCCATCTACCTGCTGGTGGTTCTGGCTCAGGTGAACCTGGCGGCGCTGCTGGCCGGCCTCGCCACCTTCATGTCCAAATTCATCGAGAGACAATTCACCCAGACCGTCTCCTTCTCCGTCATGATGATAGGTGAGAGAGCACACAGGTCTGCAGGCAGAGCTGGGAAGTACTGGAGTACAAATACTTTGTTACTGTACTGTACATCTTTCTGGTATCAGTACTTTACTCCAATACTTATTCTTCTGACGACTTTTTACTTTCTACTTCTTACATGTTGAACCCAAATACCTGTACTTTCTACTTCTCACATGTTGAACACAAATACCTGTACTTTCTACTTCTTACATGTTGAACCCAAATACCTGTACTTTCTACTTCTCACATGTTGAACCCAAATACCTGTACTTTCTACTTCTCACATGTTGAACCCAAATACATGTACTTTCTACTTCTCACATGTTGAACTCAAATACCTGTACTTTCTACTTCTTACATGTTGAACCCAAATACCTGTACTTTCTACTTCTCACATGTTGAACCCAAATACCTGTACTTTCTACTTCTCACATGTTGAACCCAAATACCTGTACTTTCTACTTCTTACATGTACTTTCTACTTCTCACATGTTGAACTCAAATACCTGTACTTTCTACTTCTCACATGTTGAACCCAAATACCTGTACTTTCTACTTCTTACATGTTGAACCCAAATACATGTACTTTCTACTTCTCACATGTTGAACTCAAATACCTGTACTTTCTACTTCTTACATGTTGAACCCAAATACCTGTACTTTCTACTTCTCACATGTTGAACACAAATACCTGTACTTTCTACTTCTTACATGTTGAACCCAAATACCTGTACTTTCTACTTCTCACATGTTGAACCCAAATACCTGTACTTTCTACTTCTTACATGTTGAACCCAAATACCTGTACTTTCTACTTCTCACATGTTGAACCCAAATACCTGTACTTTCTACTTCTTACATGTTGAACCCAAATACCTGTACTTTCTACTTCTTACATGTTGAACTCAAATACCTGTACTTTCTACTTCTTATATGTTGAACTCAAATACCTGTACTTTCTACTTCTTACATATTGAACCCAAATACCTGTACTTTCTACTTCTCACATGTTGAACACAAAGACCTGTACTTTCTACTTCTTACATGTTGAACTCAAATACCTGTACTTTCTACTTCTTACATGTTGAACTCAAATACCTGTACTTTCTACTTCTTACATGTTGAACACAAAGACCTGTACTTTCTACTTCTTACATGTTGAACTCAAATACCTGTACTTTCTACTTCTTACATGTTGAACACAAATACCTGTACTTTCTACTTCTTACATGTTGAACCCAAATACCTGTACTTTCTACTTCTTACATGTTGAACCCAAATACCTGTACTTTCTACTTCTCACATGTTGAACTCAAATACCTGTACTTTCTACTTCTCACATGTTGAACCCAAATACCTGTACTTTCTACTTCTTACATGTTGAACCCAAATACCTGTACTTTCTACTTCTTACATGTTGAACCCAAATACCTGTACTTTCTACTTCTTACATGTTGAACTCAAATACCTGTACTTTCTTACTTCTTACATGTGAACACAAATACCTGTACTTTCTACTTCTTACATGTTGAACACAAATACCTGTACTTTCTACTTCTTACATGTTGAACACAAATACCTGTACTTTCTACTTCTTACATGTTGAACTCAAATACCTGTACTTTCTACTTCTCAACATGTTGAACTCAAATACCTGTACTTTCTACTTCTTACATGTTGAACTCAAATACCTGTACTTTCTACTTCTTACATGTTGAACTCAAATACCTGTACTTTCTACTTCTTACATGTTGAACTCAAATACCTGTACTTTCTACTTCTTACATTGACTCAAATACCTGTACTTCTACTTCTACATGTTGAACTCAAATACCTGTACTTTCTACTTCTTCACATGTTGAACTCAAATACCTGTACTTTCTACTTCTTACATGTTGAACTCAAATACCTGTACTTTCTACTTCTTACATGTTGAACTCAAATACCTGTACTTTCTACTTCTCACATGTTGAACTCAAATACCTGTACTTTCTACTTCTTACATGTTGAACTCAAATACCTGTACTTTCTACTTCTTACATGTTTGAACTCAAATACCTGTACTTTCTACTTCTTACATGTTGAACTCAAATACCTGTACTTTCTACTTCTTACATGTTGAACTCAAATACCTGTACTTTCTACTTCTTACATGTTGAACTCAAATACCTGTACTTTCTACTTCTCACATGTTGAACTCAAATACCTGTACTTTCTACTTCTTACATGTTGAACTCAAATACCTGTACTTTCTACTTCTTACATGTTGAACTCAAATACCTGTACTTTCTACTTCTTACATGTTGAACTCAAATACCTGTACTTTCTACTTCTTACATGTTGAACTCAAATACCTGTACTTTCTACTTCTTACATGTTGAACTCAAATACCTGTACTTTCTACTTCTCACATGTTGAACTCAAATACCTGTACTTCTACTTCTTACATGTTGAACTCAAATACCTGTACTTTCTACTTCTTACATGTTGAACTCAAATACCTGTACTTTCTACTTCTTCACATGTTGAACTCAAATACCTGTACTTTCTACTTCTCACATGTTGAACTCAAATACCTGTACTTTCTACTTCTACATGTTGAACTCAAATACCTGTACTTTCTACTTCTCACATGTTGAACTCAAATACCTGTACTTTCTACTTCTTACATGTTGAACTCAAATACCTGTACTTTCTACTTCTTACATGTTGAACTCAAATACCTGTACTTTCTACTTCTTACATGTTGAACTCAAATACCTGTACTTTCTACTTCTTACATGTTGAACTCAAATACCTGTACTTTCTACTTCTCACATGTTGAACTCAAATACCTGTACTTTCTACTTCTTACATGTTGAACTCAAATACCTGTACTTTCTACTTCTCACATGTTGAACGCAAATACCTGTACTTTCTACTTCTTACATGTTGAACTCAAATACCTGTACTTTCTACTTCTTACATGTTGAACTCAAATACCTGTACTTTCTACTTCTCACATGTTGAACTCAAATACCTGTACTTTCTACTTCTCACATGTTGAACTCAAATACCAGTACTTTCTACTTCTTACATGTTGAACTCAAATACCTGTACTTTCTACTTCTTACATGTTGAACTCAAATACCAGTACTTTCTACTTCTTACATGTTGAACTCAAATACCTGTACTTTCTACTTCTTACATGTTGAACTCAAATACCTGTACTTTCTACTTCTCACATGTTGAACCCAAATACCTGTACTTTCTACTTCTCACATGTTGAACCCAAATACCTGTACTTTCTACTTCTCACATGTTGAACTCAAATACCTGTACTTTCTACTTCTTACATGTTGAACCCAAATACCTGTACTTTCTACTTCTTACATGTTGAACCCAAATACCTGTACTTTCTACTTCTCACATGTTGAACTCAAATACCTGTACTTTCTACTTCTTACATGTTGAACTCAAATACCTGTACTTTCTACTTCTTACATGTTGAACTCAAATACCTGTACTTTCTACTTCTTACATGTTGAACTCAAATACCTGTACTTTCTACTTCTCACATGTTGAACTCAAATACCTGTACTTTCTACTTCTCTCATTTCCCAAACAGCTGGTTCCTTTAGTCTGAATGTGTGTTTGATGCGTGATCATTATTCTTTAGAGTCATTGCGTGCCTATTGATTTGAACACGATCCGTGTATCCATCATTTCCTGGTCTTCTCTAAAGAAGAGGGACCAATGGAAACGTTGTCATGTTGCCGTTGTTCAGCATGGAAACATTCATTAGCTAACAATGACATTATTGTTCTATTGATATAAAGGGAGGTCAGGTACTCTTTAAAGCAGCTGCTAGTTATGGGTACGTTTTACTGAAGGACACTTCAAAGCCTCTTTACTTTGACTTGAGTAAAGAAGTTTAGTCAGTACTTCTACTTTCACCAGAGTATTTTTAAACACGAGTATCTGTACTTCTACTTGAGTAAAGGATGTGTGTACTTTTGCCATCTCTGTCTGCAGTCATCACACCAGTAAGAGCCACAAATATTACATTTCAGAGAAAGTTATTTGTTTGTATGACATCGGGAACCTTGAGGGGTGAAATTACCTCCTAAATTAGTTCCATAACTGTAATGTAATTAGTTCCCGGTCAGAGGTGAAACTGGTTTCCTTACAACATTATAATTACCATCCTCTTAAATGAGTTACCGATCAGTGGGGAAATAAGCTCCCTGTCTCTGGTCAAATGTGTTCCCTTACAAGGGTGAAATGAGTTGCTTGTACTACTACTACTATTTGGAGCATTGTAAAAACAGCCACGATTAAAGTTATATACAGTCAACTGAAATATGGAATGTGTGTCTTCTGGATTTCTTCAGGAGGAGTCTGCATCCCGCTGGCGGTGCTGGGAACCGTGCTCGGCGGCGTCCTGATGCGGAGGTTGAGTCTCTCGGTGGGCGGAGCCAGTAAACTCTGCACCGCGGCCATCTTCCTCTGCATCCTGTCCTCCATACCGCTGCTGTTCATTGGCTGCTCAACTCAGAAGGTCGCTGAGGTCTTTCCTCAAGGGTAGCTGCCTATTTTACCAACTAAATGGACCTACGTCTCAACCTAAATAAAACATATTTACCACCAACAGACACTTTTAAAGCTGAAAGGCGAATGATTTAAAATCTAAAAGGGAATTCAGAACTCAGAACTATTTTCACTGCTAACGGGGAACTTATTCATTTACAGAAAACAAACTTATTTCATAACTGACAGGGAATTTCCTTATTGAACGGGAATTGCAGTGCCCTAAAGGGAACTATTCCTCAGTAACAGGGATCTAATTGTCTCACTCTCAAGAAATTGTTTTCACTATTGAATTGAAACTAATTGCTGTTGTCAGAAAAGTAATTCCACCTCCAATAGGTAACCAATTCCACTTATGACAGGGAACTAATTACCCCATTGATAGCGGACTTAATTCACTATTGATTGGGAACTAATTCCAGCACTGAAAGGAAACTAATATCACGTTTTGCAAGAAACTAATTAGACTTTTGACAGGGAACTAATTTAACAATTGTAAGGTAAATTCACTGCTAACACAGAACTAAATTCACTTTTGACAGGGAACTAATTTCCCCCACTGATAACTAAGTAATTTCACGTTTTGTATCTACACACCCTAACACATTGTGTGTGTGTGTGTGTGTGTGTGTGTGTGTGTGTGTGTGTGTGTGTGTGTGTGTGTGTGTGTGTGTGTGTGTGTGTGTGTGTGTGTGTGTGTGTGTGTGTGTGGGCAGCAGTGCTGCGTTGTCGTGCAGCGCCGGCTGTAGGTGTCCGGCGGAGGCCTTTAACCCGGTCTGCGGTTCTGACGGCGTTGAGTTCAGGTCCCCCTGCCACGCCGGCTGCAGCAACGTACAGATTGACGCCAGCAACAAACCTACCGTAAGAACTACTATATAAACTTTGGGACCAATACAGCATTAACAATAATAACTGTGTGTAAATCAATCGTACTCGGTTGGAAATGTCTTCTTAACCCATAAGAGCCCACGGTGACACAGATAGATTACATTTAAATGTTCTGGAAGGTTCCTTATACAGCTTCATTTGACCTCATGCAGTCCCTAAGTGACACACCCTGAACAGTCTGGTGGGTCATGATCCAGGTCATGTGATTACATTTCAAAAGCTTGTTTTCTGTGGCTAAAGGTACGGTTCAAGCCGTTTAAGAATTATAATGCCTACATAACATGTCCTTTGTTACATTTAACCTGTTTTGAAAAAAAATATTGTACATATTGATATGAAACAAATAATATAAAGATCGCTGTGACCCTAACATTTCTCAGTAAATCTAGAGTGACATATGTGTCACAATTAGAAATATGATCTGCTCAGTTAATCTAGCTGATTCAATGATATTTAGTTAATATATTCTATACTTATCAGTTCAGAGAATGTTAAAACTAATTTAAACCAAAGCATCATCCTCATTAATTAAGTTATTAATAAGAATGACTTTACCTTTAACTCCCAATGTGACGTCTACAGTATGTCACTTTTCTAATAGTTGACACTAGTGGGGGTTACTTGTCAGAAATGTGATCTATGTGGTCTGGTTTACTCTAAATGATGTTCCCCATAATTTCCCCAAAAGTATAAATGGGTCGGGGTTCTTATGGGTTAAGGAAATAAACTATAATCTGTTCCTTTATCTCTTTCACTGTTACAGCCTGTTTCCCATTTGGTTTTCAGTTTGAATTCAAACATACTCCAATTCCCTGAACATCCATTTTCTGTGGGAAGGGTCTTGAGTGGGAGCAGACTGCATTATTAATCAAAGTGAAACAATAATGGAAGCCAAATAAAATCTCTCAGTGTAACCACAAGTTAGTGGAGGGACTGAAAGCAGCTGGAAGCTGTGGTAAAGTTCAGAGGAAACACGAGAGAGAAAGATATTCAGCGTTAACATTGCTGGCCCTTAAATCATTGAGCTTCCCCCTCAGGGAAGAAAGACACACTACAAGAACATCCCTGACACTTTCCAGATAATAGAACATTGTTGAACTCGTAAAAGTTTCCACCATTATAAAACCAGACAACATTTAACATTAACATACTATGTATATTTAGTTGCATACATTTGACCTTAAAGGTGACTCTAAATATAGAGTAATTGTTGCAAAGGTTGGATAAAGATTTCCTGTTTAAGTTTCCATACAAATTATAAATAATGGAAAGCCTAGAGTCTGCTAATCCGAAAGTGAAACGTTTTTTCCTAACAGTTTCATCTAGTTGGCATTCAATGTTGGCAATAATTCTACATTTTTAGGACAAGAAAATGAAAGTGAAATGTAGACTTAAAGTGATATTCCAGATGTGCAGGAAGTGATATAATATCCATATGTTGTTCTAAAACCTCTCAGGGTCAACAGTAGCACTTTACGGATTAAAGGATACTGATCGATCAGATCTGTTTTATTAGAGATAGTTACTGTGATGGTAACGTAGCTGGTTTTACTTTCACTCTGTCCTCCATCATGTTCCCTTGAGACTTTGCAGGGAACATTAAACACTCTTAGAGGGGGTTTGAGTAAATAGAGAGGAATGAAGGAAAGCAGACACATCCGAGAAATGATTGATCAGCAGCTGTGAGGAAATGCAGCGATACAGAAGGCGGTCACGACTTCAAAAACATCCACGCTTCTCTAAAGGAAGGATCTTTTTATTTATTTAAGATATAAAGAAACACAAAATACTTCATCATGGGACAGATTTTTACAACCAAGCCTTCTCAGGGAACTAATTGAATAGATAACAGGGGAATCATTGCTTTATGAATAAATATAACGCTAACAGGGAACTCATTTCAATATTGACATAGAAGCCATTTAAGCACTGTAAGGTGAGTCATTTTAGAAGTTTAGGGAACTAATGTAAATACTAACAGGGAACTTATTTTGGATTTTGAAAGTGAACTAATTTGACTATTGACAGGGATCATGCAGCCCCACTGACAGGAACACATTTGACAGGGATGTTATTTTACGAATGTAAGGGAACTAATTTCCCTATCGACGTGGAAGTACTTTTGGCAATATAAGGTTACTTAATACAATTTTGACTCAAAAATAATTTCACCATTCATATGGAACTCATTGAACTAGTGACAGGGAACTAATTATACTAATGAAAACAAATCAGAAAAAAAACGACTCAAAATAATGTTGAACTACTTCCCCATTAACAGGGAACTATGTTTACCTTCGTTAGGGAACTCATTTCATTAAAAATGAAATCGAATCATTTCATTACTTTTTTAGGGATCTTAGGGAACTAATTTCAGTGTTTACCGAGAAGCCATTTAAGCACTGTAAGGTGAGTCATTTTAGAAGTTTAGGGAACTAATGTAAATACTAACGAGGAACTTATTTGGGATTTTGAAAGGGAACTAATTTCACTATTGACAGGGATCATGCAGCCCCACTGACAGGGAACACATTTGACAGGTTATTTTACAAATGTAAGGGAACTAATTTCTCCATTGATTGGGAACTACTTTTGGAAATGTAAGGTTACTTAATACAATTTTGACAGGAAAATAATTTCACCATATGGAACTCATTGAACTAATGACAGGGAACTAATTATACTAATGACAATGAATCAGAAAAAAACTACTCAAAATAATGTTGAACTACTTCCCCCAGTAATAGGGAACTATATTTACCTTCGTTAGGGAACTCATTTCATTATTAAAAAGGATTCATTTCATAACTTTTTAGGGATCTCAGGGAACTAATTTCAGTATTTACAGAGAAGCAATTTAAGCACTGTAAGGTGACTCATTTGAGAAGTTTAGGGAACTAATGTAAATACTAACAGGGAACTTATTTGGGATTTTGAAAGGGAACTAATTTCACTATTGACAGGGATCATGCAGCCCCACTGACAGGGAACACATTTGACAGGTTATCTTACAAATGTAAGGGAACTACTTTCACCATTGACTGGGAACTACTTTCGGCAATATAAGGTTGCGTAATTCAATGTTGACTGTCTGTAATGACCCACACAGCCTGTAGGGGGCGCTGTCTCACCCCGGTTATCAGAATCAGGTTTATTACCAGGTATGTTGACACGTACGAGGAATTTGACTCCATGTCATCGTGCATACATAAAAGTAAAACAAACATTTTAAAACAATGATAGAGAACTAATTTAATGAAGGGATTAATTTCTTTACTTTTTAAGGGATCTCAGGGAACTAATTTCAGTATTTAACTGGAATTAATTTTTCCACTTTCAGGGAACTAAATCGATATTTATCTGGGAACTAATGTCACCACTGTCACGGAGCTAATCGTGCACTTTTAAATATCCTAATCTCTCCAGAGGACAGATGACGACCTGTTTTTGTTATTTATTTATTGTGTCTGTAATGATCCCCACAGCCTGTAGGGGGCGCTGTCTCACCCCGGTTATATGTGTCTGTAGAACTACACTGAGTGTGGGTGTGTCGGGGGTCTCGGCGTCGCCTCTCCGGGGACTTGTGGCAGTGGATGCTCAAACCTCCTGCTCCCCTTCGTGGCTCTGCTGGGCGTCACCAGCTTCATCGCCTCCTTCTCCCAGACGCCCTCCGTCATGATGATCCTCAGGTAGGAAAGCACGAGGATCAAAATGCATCTGGGCTATCATCCTGCAGGAGCATACAAAGACACCATCAGTACATCTACATTTGGTTACTATAACCATTAATGAACACACAGTTAGAAATACACTAGATTTAACGTGTTTAGTCTGTAAATATGCACATTGCATTTTATCTCGATGCACTGTCATCGCTAATACCTCTGCTTTTACCACTCTTATTTATTTATTTGTGTCTATTTTTTACAGCAGTGAGAGTTTCCAAGGACATTTCATTGTACTTTGTATATAAGATATATTCTATTCTATTTAAGAAAACCGAGTGCAGCAAATGCGTTAAAATATTGAGGGAACTTAATCAAATGTTCACAGCTTCGTTGTACGTATACAATATGTAATATAAAGTACTGGGGAAATATGCCCCTGTTAAGCTGATTTTTATTAAATCGCGCTAGGTATTTTTCGAGGCAGTCGAGTCCCTTCATTGAAAACACTCCTTCAATCATCATAAGTTTAGCATTGTAAAGAAAACCTGACGAACTTTGCTTCACCCAAATTACAAAATGTATTCTCCTTGTAAATATGTTTTAATACCAACCTCAATATCCAGAGAGGAGCAGCAGCTCTCTGTGGAATAATTATCGTTGGTTAAAAAAAAAGCAGAAATGTGAAACTAAATAGCGTCTGATATGCACATATGACTCTAAATGATGTTAAACATTACAACACTCATGTGATTTGAAGATACCTCGAACAAGAGCTGCAAAGCATTCAAATGCATTCCACGCGGAGGTCCAACAGCAGCTGGAACCCTTTGAGAAAACAGAACAAGTCTTTTGGATTATATGGAAATGTTTAGAGGGTCAGAAAGGGGGGGGGGGTTGTTGTTTAAAAGCAGACTTGTATTTCCCTAAGCTGCTGCCTCACCTGGTCCTCATCAGAGAATCTGGCACTGATGGAGAAAGCAGCTGCCAGGATCCGAACTCTGAGCCTCACGGTTTACCGTTCAGGACAATTCAGAGAGTTAGAAATATAAAGATTAGACGGTCAGACTGAAAGGAAAACACTCTAAAAACAAGAGTTGACAGCAGCAGGAGATGAGCTGAGATCCCATCAACAGAAAATGAACCAATTACTCTGATATTTAACACAAAACATCTGCTAATGAACACAGAACGACTACAAAGTCACACGAAAACCAAAAAAAGCATGTTCTGTTTACTCCAAGGTTTGCAGTAGCGTTGGATCTCCACATTAGTTGAATGATTTTGTAAACCTTGAGGCTCATCGTTCCAGTTTTGGTTTATCTGAATGGTCACACTGGTTTCAGCAGGGTCCATTTTACCGTTCAGGACAATTCAGAGTCCATTAATATAAGAGTAATAAGAGTTTAGACCAGGGGTTCTCAAAGTGCGGCCCGCGGGCCAATGGCGGCCCTCGGAAATGTTTCTGGCGGCCCGCGATAGTTAATGTGACACGCTGAAATGCATGCGTTATGTTTTAATCCTCCATGGTTGTATCTAGTAAGAATTAGAATGGAACTTAAGAATGGTAAAACTGCGCCCCCTGGGTTGTCATTCCTAAATTATGAATGACAGCTTGTGGAAAGTTTGCTAGACTACTGGTTGCATGGCAACTAGGCATCTCGCGAGTTGCGGTAATTGGTTGATACAATAAAGAAAGGATTTGTTTTGGAATTATTTTGTGTTCCGTTTTTTCTTGGGCGGCCCTCAATCCAATATTGGGTACCTACATTGGCCCTCACTCATCACAACTTTGAGAACCCCGGCTTTAGACGGTCAGACTGAAGGGAAAATGACTCGAGTTGACAGAATGTTGAGATCACATCAACAGAAAATGTTACTCTGATATCTTCCTGCAAAGAGACACAAAACAGATGCTAATGAACAAAGGGACTCAAAAACCACAGATATAACAACACCACAACAATTAAGGAAACCATAGCGTGACGCCCACAGGAAGTACCCACTCATTTCCTCACACTGATGTTACCACTTGTTTGTCACGCTGTGTCTCTGCAGGACGGTGCCTGCGGAGGACAAGTCGTTCGCAGTGGGGGTGCAGTACATGCTGTTCAGAGTGCTCGGTGAGTAATGACTTCCTCTGCACTTTGAGCAAGGCACACACCAGGTCTGAGGTTAAACTCTGAGACCTTCATTCACTGACCTCAGATCTGTCAATACAGCAGCGTATGCATTTAAAACATGTTCATAATGAGAGGGAAATCTTTGTATTAGTGCTAATAAAAAAACAATTTCAGCTTTGCTTTATATGGACAGATAAATGACTATAATACAAATTCTGGTGGAGGCAAGATATTTAGGAGAGATGCTTATTTCTTTAGATTTCTGAACATATGGACATAGTTTGAACCGTCTATAAGGAAAGAAATAACCCTTCATTATAGACTTTAAAAATATAGAGCTCACTAAATATTTTAAATGATATAACTGTCATAGTTAGTGTGATATCTCCTGTATAGATAGATGTTAATACATATATAACTTTTATGGTGTGTGTGTGTGTGTGTGTGTGTGTGTGTGTGTGTGTGTGTGTGTGTGTGTGTGTGTGTGTGTGTGTGTGTGTGTGTGTGTGTGTGTGTGTGTGTGTGTGTGTGTGTGTGTGTGTGTGTGTGTGTGTGTGTGTGTGTGTGTGTGTGTGTGTGTGTGTGTGTGTGTAGCGTTCATGCCCGGCCCGGTGTTGTACGGCAGCGTCATCGACAGTACCTGCATCTCGTGGGGCAGGAAGTGTGACAAGAAGACTTCCTGTCAGTACTACGACCTGGACCACTTCAGGCAGAGGTCAGCAACATTTCTATTATATTTTTTCTATATTTACATTTTCTAGATTAATTTTTTCATCATAAATCTTTTTAATTTTTTTTTATTTTATACAAATATTTTAATTAAAAAAAAATGTACATTTATATTTCTTTATATATTTTTCATTTTTTTATAACAATTGTTTGGTTTACATTTTTTATAATTTAATTTATTTTTTATTTTGTGAAGCCATGATATGACAGGTGAGACGTGGGTGTGTACTTAGTGAGCAGCACACTTCCAGCAAGTTTCATGAAAAATGGTGCAATAGTTTGATCCTGGTGACGAACCCTAAACACACCTCAGAACTCCTCGGAGGAGGAAGCGTTTCCTCAGCAGCTCGGTCCGGCAGATTCTTGAGGTTTCCTCTAGAGGCTGGAGTCCTGGCTCAGATCTGCTAACACATCGGTTCTTCCTTAGTCTCTGCTTCACACTTCCACCAAGTTTGATTCAAATAAGTCCAGTAGTTTTTCAATAATCAGGCTTTTTAAAACCAAAGTTTTAAAATGTTTTTACATCGTGTTTGAGAGTTTTCAGTCCGGCTACAAGTATGGTTTTATTGTCTCGTGCTTTTACATTTGTTTTGTCTAAATGTATTTATGCTGCTTTTTGCTATATATTTATTGATGTACTTTAGTTTTTAAATGTGCTATATAAATAAAGTTGGATTGGATAAACCTTCATTAGACAGGTCACCGAACGACACAATCTTTGACCCTGTGTGTGTGTGTGTGTGTGTGTGTGTGTGTGTGTGTGTGTGTGTGTGTGTGTGTGTGTGTGTGTGTGTGTGTGTGTGTGTGTGTGTGTGTGTGTGTGTGTGTGTGTGTGTGTGTGTGTGTGTGTGTGTGTGTGTGTGTGTGTGTGTGTGTGTGTGTGTGTGTGTAGGTTTCTGGGTCTGCAGGTGGTCTTTGTGTGCGGCGCGCTGCTCTGCTTCCTGCTGACCATGGTGGTCCTGCGCCGGAGGGCCGGGCAGCTGAAGACGGAGGGTGACGGAGTGAAGGGAGCGTATGCGATGGTGAGCGCTTCGTCTAAAGAGAAGGAGGGCATCAAAACCTGAAGACACAGCGAGAGGAAGCAGGGACATAAAGACGCTGAACGAAGCAGAACAAGAGTTCAGAGAGAATGCTAGCGGTGAAGCTGCTACGCTAACTAACTGCAGCTCATGTAAAGGATCTGTCGGCCTGTATAATCAGACTCTCTCATGTTGTGTTGTTTCACTAACGCTCACGCTCCAGTGGATGTACATAAGCTGATCAATGTATTGGGACAAAGACGATGTATTAACCTCCCGCTCGTTGTACTCACGGATATAATCTCTTTATATTCGCTTTTCTGGGTTTTCAAGTTCAGCTTTTAGTTTATTTTAACTCCTCCAAGACTCAAGTTACTTCAGTCGGGCTCTTGGTGTTGAGGCGGTTGCACCAAACTTGTCTAAGCCACCATAAAGAAAGCAGCGCCCTCACTGGAGGCTCGGCCATTCAGTCTCAGTGCTGGATGCTAGCCGCTGTTATAGCATCGCTGTGAAGCTAGCCGTGCTAACCCTGCAGAGTCTCCATCTGGAGCTCTTACACAATGACTTGCTTCTGACAGCTCCCAAAAAGATGCCGCATATTTTTTTAAACAGTCAATGTTTCTGTAAATATTTGTTTGTATACGAAATGAAACGTCATAAGGGTATTTCTTTCTACATGGCTGTGTGCAGGCGACTCGGTTCAGAAAGCTTGTTTACATCAAATTAGTGTGATAAACATGAACCCTCTGTCTGTGAAAGAAGACACACGTGGAAGCACTCTCACTCTCACTCTCACTCTCACTGTCACTGTCACTCTCACTCTCACTCTCACTCTCACTCTCACTCTCACTCTCACTCTCACTCTCACTCTCACTCTCACTGTCACTGTCACTCTCACTCTCACTCTCACTCTCACTCTCACTCTCACTCTCACTGTCACTCTCACTCTCACTCTCACTCTCACTCTCACTCTCACTCTCACTCTCACTGTCACGCTCACTCTCACTGTCACATTGATGTGATTCTTCAACTGTCCTTATTTTAGTCAAAACTTGTATTTTTGTATTTTTTTCATTGGACATTGAAGCATGCATAGATTTTAGTTTAGTCATTTTATAAATATATAATAACTGTTGATTTCTCAGAGTGTATGTCTGGTTTTAATCTGCTCCACTTCTAAACTCTGAAATTCACTTTCAAAGCTATTTTTTTATTAATCTAAAGCTGTGAAAAATGTTGTCTGAGGGATTTTTAATAAACTTAAAAACATTGTGTGGCCCCCGTGCATTCACTCCAAGGCCCCCAGCTCTATGTCCGATAGATAAGCAGAGTATCTCCGTGCATTCACTCCAAGGCCCCCAGCTCTATGTCCTATAGATGAGCAGAGTATCTCCGTGCAGTCACTCTGAGGCCCCCAGCTCTATGTCCTATAGATGAGCAGTCACTCTGAGGCCCCCAGCTCTATGTCCTATAGATGAGCAGTCACTCTGAGGCCCCCAGCTCTATGTCCTATAGATGAGCAGTCACTCTGAGGCCCCCAGCTCTATGTCCTATAGATGAGCAGTCACTCTGAGGCCCCCAGCTCTATGTCCTATAGATGAGCAGTCACTCTGAGGCCCCCCAGCTCTATGTCCTATAGATGAGCAGTCACTCTGAGGCCCCCAGCTCTATGTCCTATAGATGAGCAGTCACTCTGAGGCCCCCAGCTCTATGTCCTATAGACGAGCAGTCACTCTGAGGCCCCCAGCTCTATGTCCTATAGATGAGCAGTCACTCTGAGGCCCCCAGCTCTATGTCCTATAGATGAGCAGTCACTCTGAGGCCCCCAGCTCTATGTCCTATAGATGAGCAGAGTATCTCCGTGCAGTCACTCTGAGGCCCCCAGCTCTATGTCCTATAGATGAGCAGAGTATCTCCGTGCAGTCACTCTGAGGCCCCCAGCTCTATGTCCTATAGATGAGCAGTCACTCTGAGGCCCCCAGCTCTATGTCCTATAGATGAGCAGTCACTCTGAGGCCCCCAGCTCTATGTCCTATAGATGAGCAGTCACTCTGAGGCCCCCAGCTCTATGTCCTATAGATGAGCAGTCACTCTGAGGCCCCCCAGCTCTATGTCCGATAGATGAGCAGTCACTCTGAGGCCCCCAGCTCTATGTCCTATAGATGAGCAGTCACTCTGAGGCCCCCCAGCTCTATGTCCTATAGATGAGCAGTCACTCTGAGGCCCCCAGCTCTATGTCCTATAGATGAGCAGTCACTCTGAGGCCCCCAGCTCTATGTCCTATAGATGAGCAGTCACTCTGAGGCCCCCAGCTCTATGTCCTATAGATGAGCAGTCACTCTGAGGCCCCCAGCTCTATGTCCTATAGATGAGCAGTCACTCTGAGGCCCCCCCAGCTCTATGTCCTATAGATGAGCAGTCACTCTGAGGCCCCAGCTCTATGTCCGATAGATGAGCAGTCACTCTGAGGCCCCCAGCTCTATGTCCTATAGATGAGCAGTCACTCTGAGGCCCCCAGCTCTATGTCCTATAGATGAGCAGTCACTCCGAGGCCCCCAGCTCTATGTCCTATAGATGAGCAGTCACTCCGAGGCCCCCAGCTCTATGTCCTATAGATGAGCAGAGTATCTCCGTGCAGTCACTCTGAGGCCCCCAGCTCTATGTCCGATAGATAAGCAGAGTATCTCCGTGCAGTCACTCCGAGGCCCCCAGCTCTATGTCCGATAGATAAGCAGAGTATCTCCGTGCAGTCACTCTGAGGCCCCCAGCTCTATGTCCGATAGATAAGCAGAGTATCTCCGTGCAGTCACTCTGAGGCCCCCAGCTCTATGTCCGATAGATAAGCAGGGTATCTCCGTGCAGTCACTCTGAGGCCCCCAGCTCTATGTCCGATAGATAAGCAGGGTATCTCCGTGCAGTCACTCTGAGGCCCCCAGCTCTATGTCCGATAGATGAGCAGAGTATCTCCGTGCAGTCACTCTGAGGCCCCCAGCTCTATGTCCGATAGATAAGCAGAGTATCTCCGTGCAGTCACTCTGAGGCCCCCAGCTCTATGTCCGATAGATAAGCAGAGTATCTCCGTGCAGTCACTCTGAGGCCCCCAGCTCTATGTCCGATAGATAAGCAGAGTATCTCCGTCATATAAAGGTACAATTCTCATACTTGTTATATCTGTTTTAACCGAATGGGGATACAGTATGTGCCCCGTGTGAGGCCATTGGAACAGCGTCTCCATGGAAACCTGTAAATCCTGGTCCGTTCATCATGACTCCGGTTAGCGGACATTTAGGTGCATCAACATCCAGACAACAACATGACCACTACCACACTCTTTTTAAAAACAATGTTCCCAAAATAACGCCTGTCCGTCAGCGGGGATAGGAATGAGGCTCTGGGGAAAACACGTTGCTCGTGTATTCGCACCTTTGCGGTACAGGTTGCTGAAGCTGCCCAATTGCTTTTGGTTGGTCAGTCTGAACTTTGGCTTTCTTCCATCAAATCTGAGCAAACACACTAAATCTGGCTTTCTTTAGAGGTCCTAAAATGCACTCATGATGTGTGTGTAAACATGTGCACACTCATGATGTGTGTGTAAACATGTGCACACTCATGATGTGTGTGTAAACATGTGCACACTCATGATGTGTGTGTAAACATGTGCACACTCATGATGTGTGTGTAAACATGTGCACACTCATGATGTGTGTAAACATGTGCACACTCATGATGTGTGTGTAAACATGTGCACACTCATGATGTGTGTGTAAACATGTGCACACTCATGATGTGTGTGTAAACATGTGCACACTCATGATGTGTGTGTAAACATGTGCACACTCATGATGTGTGTGTAAACATGTGCACACTCACTTCAAAACCCATGAAACATGCGCGCATTCCTGACACGCTCTGCACGAGTATAAATAGATTTGTATTATGTATTATTCCTAAGGATAAGTACCTCACACAACCCCACTTCAGACACTAAATACCTCTCAGTCCCCCTCTTACTTTCAGACTGAAAGATGTCCACGATTGTTGGATGCATTGCTGACTCGAGCCAACGTTTTCCTCATGCTCTAATCCTGACTGATTGCTTCATTGCTTTTACTTTCTCTTCAGATCCTAAGTCTTGAAACCGTCTCCAGAGACGGATCAATGATTGCATAACACCCTCCCTTTGTTGATATGAAACATTACTGATGCTCTCTGCACACACAGACAGGCTTCAGCGCATTGTTGCTGCAACAGTTTCGTTCTGCAGGCTCAAACATGTCAACGTCTCAGAAAATGATACTTCTTCTGAAGCTGAATTAAGTATTTCAAGGACTCTTGGATCAGCTGGAAAATGTATCAACCCAGGACAGGACAAAGCTACAAACATCTTCTCAAACACGATGCATTGGTGCAGATGTAGAGTATAACAAGGAGGTGAACTCTTCTACAGCAGAAACATGCCACATATTGCAGCATTTATATACATCTAGAAAACAGTTAGATGACTGGATTTATGGTTAAAAATGTGATGTTTTAAATCAAAAGAAACTCAAGAGAGTCTGAGAGCGGGCGATGCTTTTCTGATTGACTTTAATCTTAACTTAACAAATGCATTAAATACATAAAACAGTAAAGCACTAAATGGAGGACAATAAAGTAAAAAATAAATAACCCTGGATTATTGTGACGAAGGAATCAAACTTTATTTTTACTGCCTTTTTCAAACAAATCAAATCCATTTTAAAGTGAAAAACGAGGATGCTTAAAGTAGTAAAATGCAGTAAAGTAAAAAAAGAGAATAAAACCACAAATAAAATACAACACTTTAATAAAAGGGTTTAACTGTTAACAAATATGAATGTTTGTTGTCTGAGGTTTATTAGGGGCTCATCCTCCTGCAGACCCTCATCATCTCTATAAATAACATGTGCAGGGTTCAGTCTGAAGGTGTTTCATCAGAAAGACACTCAGCCGCTAAAAGAAGAAGTGAGCGTTTGCCCAGGAAGGTTCTTTATTTCATTCAAAGCTTTGTCTGGACACAGATGAACGAGGCAACCCATTATAAAGTATTTCAAGCTTTTAAACCCTTCTGATTACGTAGGAAATACTATTTGTATGTGTATGATAAAAGCTCTGGCATTTAGGGTAGAAAATGTGTTGACTCAATTAAAGTTTAAATATCTAAAATGTCCAAATGAGTGAATTTAAGTGGTGTTTGTCTCCCTCTGCTGGACACTGGATGTCAAACATCACAAATACCACCAAATTAAAAAGTTCTGCTTTTTCAACAGTCACATTAAAACAGTTACTAAGTCCACCTACTAGGGCTGTAACTGTTCACAGAGTTCACGGTTCGGTACGTACCTCGGTTTGGGGGTCACGGTTCGATACGGGTTCGGTACGGGTTCGGTACGGGTTCGGTACGGGTTCGGTACAACAAGAAAAAGGCAAAAAAAGTCCCAAATGCATAATTCCAGGTTTGTTGTTATTTATGTTTGAACAGTAGTGCAAGTTTCAGTTTAAAAATAAGGAACTCTGACATTTTGAATAATTAACTTTATTAAACAGTTAAAAACAAACCACAACCAGCACCACACACTCAGATGGCCGTATTATCTATAATGGCTGATGTCAAACAAAAAGGTTCAATAAGCTGTAAAACTAAAAAGAATGTCTTGAAAATATTACAAAATAAATAATAAGATAGTGTTTCAATCACTTTCAATCACAATCAATAAAAGCTGGGGTCCTCCACTATTGCATAAGGGTGCAGCATATCCGTTGAAAAATATATGCCAAAAGCTTCCGTTATATATTTTGGTCTCTCGGCTTTCATGTCTATTGGCTTCTTAAAAACAGCAGGGATCAGCTGCTGTATTTTGCCGGGTTCCGGTGATTGGCAAATATGGATGATGCCTTCTGATATGATTTAGCATGTTTGGCATGTGTTACCATTAGCATGCCGCACCGCTGTCGAACGACGCCGACACACCGTCCTCGTCCGATCTTCCACTCGCACTCCATCGTTATTGTAGTCCACACAGCTCATTTAAAAGAAGCAGGTGGGTTCTAGCTCTGGCAAACAGCTTTTAGGCGCAATAACGCCCCCTGGATTATATATAGTGAAGTGGATACTGCCCTGAAGGACAGACAAAAAGTCTGTCCCACTCGTAAAAAAAGGCGTATTCGTCGTGTGACTGCATGTGCCGGACCGTGACGTCCGAACCGTGATGGTACGGGACGAATACGGATACCGTTACACCCCTACCACCTAC